ATATATATGTGTATATATATAAATATATATATATATATATATATATATATATATATATATATATATATATATATATATATATATATATATATATATATATATATATATATATATATATATATATATATATATATATATATATATATATATATATATATATATATATATATATATATATATATATATATATATATATATATATATATATATATATATATATATATATATATATATATATATATATATATATATATATATATATATATATATATATATATATATATATATATATATATATATATATATATATATATATTTTATTTATTTTTTATTTTTTTTTATTAAAGAAAACTTGATGGGTTGGTGCTCCCAGTCCATTGTTAATCATCTTTTACTCCACAATTGAAAAATGCAATTTCCATCACATATAATTACCATCACTCAGTGTCAAAACTCCATGCTTTTAGAAATTACATTGAATGAAGGTCATTGATCAGATCTTCATTCCGGTGTGTAATAACTGTTTTAATGAAGCAATATGTGAAGATGTGCTTTTAAAGATCCATTAAAGTTGCAGCCGACATGTTATAATGTGGTATATTTATTAAAAAGAACACATAGCGTGATGAGACTGGCAAAGAATGGCTTTAATCAACATGTATAACCATTGCATCATTTACAATTGAATGACTTTCCACATTTGATTGATTTGTGAATTGTCTGATTGTTCAGGGTGATCCAGGGAAAGCAGGAGAGACGGGATCATCAGGTGCTCCAGGACAAAGAGTGAGTGCTGGCTTACAGATGTAGTGCAACATTGCCATGCCAAACTTAAAACATATTGTATCGTTTCACAACAGGCTATTATAAATGTCATGCTCTTATTGTGAAAAGGTTTCTTTTCTGGTATTTTAGATGGCCTGTCTGTGCTGGTAATGTACAGCACAGTGATTTAAAAGTCAAGTCAATCATGATGATTTGTTATGATGGTTGTATTTCCTGCAGGGACCTAATGGGAAAGATGGAGAAGAAGGACCAGCAGGAACTACAGGACCTCCTGTGAGTCTTCTTAATCGCTTATGAGGCATTTATGGCTGTTGCAATTTTTGTGTATTTTGATTGGTTGTCTTACTTAGATATTTTATGTATCTCAATGATATATCTCACAATATAGTACTGTATTTCACAATGTTGTGAAAGAATTGAAGAAGCATTCTGCATATTGTTTGTTTTTATTTCTATTCAGGGTGTAGCAGGAAAGAGAGGGGAACAGGGACCTCCTGGACTAACAGGCTTTCAAGTATGTTCTTTTACCTTTAAATATGGTTCCAGTCAAAGATACATTTAATTGAATCTTATTTTATTAATAAGTTTTATGTACTACGACCGCAAACTGCAAAATTGCTTCTGCCACTCTAAGCTGAAACATCTTAAGTATGAATTTATCCATCAATGTACAGTTTGTTGACCTAAGGGAAATGTAATAAAAATGTATATTATAAATACTGATCCACCGATATGGAAATTTCAGCTCTTAACTTTTTTTGAAAATGTTTTGATGCTAAGAACTAATATGGAATGTAGATGTATAACTACATACATAAATATAAATATTACTGAATATATAACATTATATATATATATATATATATATATATATATATATATATATATATATATATATATATATATATATATATATATATATATATATATATATATATATATATATATATATATATATATATATATATATATATATATATATATATATATATATATATATATATATATATATATATATATATATATATATATATATATATATATATATATATATATATATATATATATATATATATATATATATATATATATATATATATATATATATATATATATATATATATATATATATATATATATATATATATATATATATATATATATATATATATATATATATATATATATATATATATATATATATATATATATATATATATATATATATATATATATATATATATATATATATATATACAGTTGAAGTCAGAATTATTAGCCCCCCTTCGAATTATTTTATTTTTTTATTTTAATATTTCCCAATTATGTTTAACAGAGCAAGGGGATTTTCACAGTATGTCTAATAATATTTTTTCTTCTGGAGAAAGTCTTATTTGTTTTATTTCAGCAAGAATAAAAGCAGTTTTAATTTTTTTAAACACCATTTTAGGGACAAAAATATTAGCCCTTTTAAGCTATTTTTTTTTCTCGATAGTCTACAGAACAAACCGTCGTTATACAAAAATTTGCTAATTACCCTAACCTGCCTAGTTAACCTAATTAACCTAGTTAAGCCTTTAAATGTCACTTTAAGCTGTATAGAAGTGTCTTGAAAAATATCTAGTAAAATATTAATTACTCTCATCATGGCAAAGATAAAATAAATCCATTATTAGAAATGAGTTGAAGGAATGTGCTTTCCATTAAATAGAAATTGGGGAAAAAATAAACAAGCCATCTAATAATTCAGGGGGGCTAATAATTCTGACTTCAACTGTATGTATGATATAAATATAAAGGATTAAAATATTACAAAACATTATTTTCTCGCCTACAAAAATATAAAAAACATATTTTCATGTCTTCTTCATCTCGGGGGGATTTTTCAGTTTATTCATAACAATTTGCTTTTGTATAATGTTATTATTATTAGCAGTATTATTTATATATGCACATTTATATTTGTTTTATTAAAAACAAGCTTAGATTTGCCCACCTGTCAGGTTTTAGACCATATGGGGATCAACATCAGTATTAGGATATAACTCAGTTGTTTGACCACACTTCGTTATTATTGTTCATTTATTCGTTTGCTGGAAATTAGAACTGAATTTAGAAATAGATTTGAAACAAATTTTTGCGCTTAATAAAATTAATTCTTTCTAGGCTAATGGATGTCTGTGCATACAAGAAGTTTCCCTTTCCACGAGAGTGAAAGTGAAAGTAAATAATGAGGAGGCTTATCTCTCATTCTCGCGCTGTAGATGCTCAGTTTAACTGTTTTCTCACTAGTGAAGTGTTCAGTTTTTCCACTTACAAAGTTCACCATCATGTAAATAGCAAATGCGCTATGGCGCAATGCAACTGACTCTTAAAGGAATTGGAGATGAGACTCTGATTGGTTTATTATCAAAACACACCCATAACTCATTAGAAAAAATAAGCTCAACCCTTTTAGACCATGCGCCATGGCGCAAAGCAAATTTTCCATCCTTAAATTAGCAAAAGTGGATTTCGATATGCCCGTATTGCTTTTGCTCCCTGTGCTTTGCACTTTGCGCATGGATTGTCAAAATAGAGCCCAATGACTTGAAAGTCAGGGTAAATTTAAATATGTGAACTAATTTTTATGACAGTCAATGTTGTCATAATGCTAAACTGCACGGTAACCCTAGTAACCATTTTTATATACAAAACAGCTCTTAAAGAAAATTCTCACTGCAGTACCCCAGAATTCAAGCTTATTTTCGAAAATGCATGTGTCTGTAAAACACACGTCATGTCAAGGTTGTATCAAATCACCAAACGAAACCAGCGCTTGTGTCGACGTCTTCAAAGGCCTGTTGGAATTGAAAGCTCTCTAATGTGACTGAGAAATGAAGATTAGATTGATTTATCTTGGGGACCAAATGCTTGAATAATGGATCCAATACTCTGTAAATAGGATTAGTTGCCAAGGTTGCCTGTGTTGCGGGACTGGCGCTGGATCATGTGTGCAGTCAGACATGGAGACAGAGATTGGAATAGTGAAATATGCTCTTTTGTCATTTCCCCAAACCACAGGATGAGGCCGTGAAAAACAGCAGAAAGCTCCTTTATGCTGGACAAAGCTCAGCACTCTGTATAGTCCTCTTTTTAACTTCATCTCTTTCATTTCTGCTCATAAGAATGGAAAATATTGAGTGTGGAGATACAGTCAGGATTCAATGCTGAACTTGCCAAACAAAATACCATACAATAATGTTATAAATGGTACTGTATTCCCCCCTTCCATAGTGTTTATTATATATATTACAGATGTATTCATTTTAACTTTTAAACACATCCCTCACACACAGACTCTCTCAGTGCTCACTATGTACCTTTTCCCCAATAATGCATATACAGTATAATATAAAAATATATTTATGCTTGCTTGTTGTGGCACAGTGGTTAATTCCACAGTAAGAAGTTCGCTGGTTCGAGTCCCGGCTGAGTCAATTGACATTTCTGTGTAGAGTTTGCATGTTCTCCCTGTGTTGGCATGGGTTTTTTCCAGGTGCTTCAGTTTCCCCCACAGTCCAAACACATGTGCTATAGGTGAATTAAATAAACTGTGGGTGTTTCCCAGTGATGGATTGCAGCTGCAAGGGCATCCGCTGTGTAAAACATATGCTGTATAAGTTGGTGGTTCATTCCGCTGTGGCGACCCCTGATTAATAAAGGGACTAAGGAATGAATGTTGCTTTCAGATGTGTCAGCTTATATTATTATGCCAACTGACCCAGCAGGGACTCGAATAAGCAACCTTCTTGCTGTTAGGTGAAAGTGCTAACCACTGAGCCACCGTGTCACCGCTCCCACTTTATATTAAGTGTAATTTAAATTCAATTGAATGCACGTTTTTATATTGTACATATATATATATATATATATATATATATATATATATATATATATACATATATATATATATATATATATATATATATATATATATATATATATATATATATATATATATATATATATATATATATATATATATATATATATATATATATATATATATATATATATATATATATATATATATATATATATATATATATATATATATATATATATATATATATATATATATATATATATATATATATATATATATATATATATATATATATATATATATATATATATATATATATATATATATATATATATATATATATGTGTGTGTGTATATGTGTGTGTGTGTGTGTGTGTGTGTGTGTGTGTGTGTGTGTGTGTGTGTGTGTGTGTGTGTGTGTGTGTGTGTACATTTGAAGTCAGAATTATTAGCCCCCCTTTGAATTTCTTTTTCTTCATTAAATATTTCCCAAATGATGTTTAACATAACAAGGACATTTTCACAGTATGCCGGATAATATTTTTCCTCTGGTGAGACTTACTTGTTTTATTTCAGCTAGAATCAAAACAGTTTTTATTTTTTAAAAACATTTCAAGGTCAATATTATTAGCCTCTCTAAGCTATATTTTTTTTTTATTGTCTCCAGAAAAACCATCGCTATACAATGACTTGCCTTATTACCCAAACCTGCCTAGTTAATCTAATTAACCTAGTGAAGCCTTTAAATGTCACTTTAAGCTGTATAGAAGTGTCTTGAAGAATATCTAGTCTAATATTATTTACTGTCATCATGGCAAAGATCAAATAAATCAGTTATTAGAGATGAGTTATTAAAACTATTATGATTAGAAATGTGCTGAAACTCTCTGAATCTGCTCTCCGTTAAACAGAAATTGGGGGAAAAAAATAAACAGGGCAAATAATTCAGGGGGGCTAATAATTCTGACTTCAACTGTATATATACAGGAATGGGCAGTATTTATGATATATGTGTTTCAAATACATATTTCAAATATAAAATAGTATTTTGTAATTTGTATTTTACGGGGGTTTTGAAAATGGATTTATATTTTGTATCAAAAGACTTTAGTGTCTTGTATTTTTGTTTTTTTTAAATAGTGTAAATACTTTGTAAGAAG